ATGGAAATTTGATCTGAACTGGGAAAGAGCAGAAGACTTAGGATGCAGTCTCTAGAAAGCACCAGAGCAATTCCCAAGGGCTGTTGAGCACCCACGTGAAGGCAGCACAGGCCTGAGGCTGCAGTGCTGAGTATGCACCACAAATGTCATTTTTAATCACAGTGGCGATTTACTTCTGGGTTACTGGGCAGAAAAAAAAAGAGGTAAATCTATCTTCAGAATCTGCCCCACCCATACTCTTACATCTTCTGCAGGACTTTGTCTCAAATCTGTCACCACACAGCTCAGAACGATCTTTTTATTAAGAGGACTCAGGGCTAACTGTGAAACTGAAACCAGGTGCATATGTCTGAGGTCAAACCAAATGCTCAAGTGGAACAGGTTCTTTCTTAAGTTTCCAAATATCTCAAAACCAGCTGTTTGTTTGGGATTTTCTACACAAGCCGAGTTCCTGAGGAAAACATTCAACCCCTAAGTACCAAGGCTGTGAACTGAAGAAAGTGCCTGAAATTTGAACTGGGCACTGCTGCCAGGACACATCTTAACCTTATTAAGTAATAAAGCATAATCTGCTCAGGTCAGAAATTGGTGCATTTGGAGTCATTCTGCAGGCTGTTGTAAGATCTGCTGAAGCTTGTGGAAGTTGAGCTTGCAATACTGTGAGGGAAGTGGCATCACCAAGCGCCTGTGTCTCTTGTCACACAGTGATACCACTTCGGGGACATCTGAGAGACGTTATTGTACTTCTATCTAGCACTTTGCTGGCGCTAATAAAACTACAGTGAAAATAAAAGTTACAAAATTCATGGCCTTACTAGCCCTAGAGAGACCAATTGCCTGCAGGCTTCTAATTTCTGTTCCTTTTAAACAACGGAAGATAAAAAAGCCCTCAGCTGATATACTGTTCCCTGTAGCCACAGGGTAACGGCACACTGAATTCCTTACAGCTGACTCTTACCCTCCATTTCACATTAATGGTGGAATGAAACCCATTACAGATGCCTGCGCTGTGCACAATGCACCAAAGGCAAACTTCATCGCAGCACAGCTGTCAGGCTGCAGGAGCTGTAATGCATGCTGTTACCACGGTGCCTCCTGCTGCCAGCACCTTACAAATAGGGTGAGTTATCTGATGTGCACTGCAGTAATTTTACTCAGCCCGCTAAGACATTATTTTTAAGTGAATCTCTGAGTTCTCTTTGCAGAAATTCAGGTAAGGATTTAAAGTAGTTGTTACCATCAGGTTGCTGAGAAAGACAACGTCTGACAGACTGATAGCAGTCAATGAGGTACCTGTTATATGTCTCATTACAATCCAGATTTCCCAGTCACATCATGGTTACATTGGCCTTTTAAGGATCACTCAGACAAGACACCACTTATATCATAGCCATGGATTTACATCCTTGGAAGGAAGCATAAACCTGATCGAGTGAACTGAAAGAAGGCAAACAGTTTTAAGCAGGGCTTCTGTCGGTGAGGTAATGCTCTGACACCTCTTTGAGCTCAAGTTGTATCTATTTCTGACGCTGCCCCATCAAAGAAGCAACATTTTACAATATATGCAACTTTTTATATATATATCAACAGCAAAACTGTTCAGGAAATTGTTTTTTGGTTACCAAAGATAGTGTTTGTCCCTAGTTGAAACAACAGGTAGCAGTGCAAAACTCCCAAAGGGCGGGCTGCCTGCATCTCAGAAAACAGCATTTTGTGGGCTTACATAGCCTCAGAGCTGCAGAAGATGCCTAAGAGTTTATGTTTTCCTGACAGAAGAGACTGCGCACTTGTGACTGCGATCTCATTGAGTCACTGCAAACAGGAAGGCAATGATTGAGCCTCATCTCACCTTGGTTGTCATGCAAGTTGCAAGAATCACAAGAGCATGCATTTCCCTTTAACCCCAACCAACTGAGTTCAGAAGTACCTGAAACAGGAAAATTAAAAGCTAACTGAAACCAACGGATATTTCTGACAAATATTTACAGAGCTGAGCTTTGAGGCAGATTTGACCTGCATTCACCAGAGAATCCAATGAGAATAAAACAAGCCTCAGGGGGGCTCAAGGGCAAAGTTTACCAGCAGCAGGAAGACTGTCTCAACCATCCGATTATCATTTACGAACATGACAGAAGCTATCCATACCGATAAGAAATCTTACAGCTAGCAAGCGTGCTCTGAATGTTTTGACATCATGAGCAACACTGTGGGTGTGGCACAAAAATGTAAGTACTGGAGGAGTGAAGAATAGATGTGTGCACTCGATTACTGAATATTTCAGAAGAACAAATAAAGAAGGATTGTTATAAAAACCTCCCTAGCACAAAATACTAATCTCTCTTCAGATCAAACAGATGGACATGCAAATAGATGCAGCCTATATTTATGCATTTAACTTGATTTAGTGTCACAGCCTTGCGTTATCTCATACTATGTTGCCAGGTGTTTTGTATTACATCAAATGACTTGTTTTTTGTTTCAATTTGCATGGCTGCATAGGAGGCCACATGGTGGCACTGTGCGATCAGTTTCACTGCCTTACTTACAGGCATTTGCAGCTTCAATGGGGTCTGGAGTCTCATCCCGGCTCAAATGAACTGGTAGAGACAAAGTTTGAGAACTGCCCATTTCCTTACTTCCTTCCAGTTTTGCCTTAACTCCTGTGACTGTTAGATTATACCCAAACTTAGATTTCAGCTGAAAAGGCAATGGTAATTTTAATATTTCTTGAGTCTGAAGTAAGGGTCATCAAAAACCTGAGCTACATGATTAAAGGAAATTCAGTTCAGAGTTTTTGTTGGTCTGATACTCTCCTGATTATTTTTTGAAGTTTCAAGCCAAAGGCAAGAAGCTAGTCATAAAGACAAAGAGCAGCTACTGTATAATTCATTGGTATTTAACACTGCCTAAAACCCTGACAAGTTTGAGAGCAAAGCAGAATGAACGCCTGTTTTATTTCAGGTGGCTGATAGTTCAGAAACAGCAAACCTGATTAAAGGTCAGGATTTGCAACAGGACAATTCCCAAAAGGCTTGTCTACCTTCAGGCTCATCTGCTTCTGATGAGTAAAAAGCATTAAGGACTTGAAACATTCCGAGGCCTGTTATTCTTTCTAGTCTTCAAACGGATTTTTTCCACCTTTGACAGCTGTGCAGGGCACAGCACGAAAACAATTTCACATTCATATCACACCTTTAAGCAGTCAGCCTGCACCCATAGCACGCTTCTAAAGCCATCCCTGATCTGCACCAAATTAGCCTGATTTCTTTTAGTTAACATGCAGTTAGCATATTATTTGTTACTTCAAGTACCAGTATAAGCATGAGCTGGAAAGCTGTTTTTGCAGCTGCTTAGTTGTGGCAACCTGGAGCAGCCAGACCACCTCACTGCAAAACCCAGGCTGCTACACGCCAGACTGTACAGGCTGCTACACTCCACAAGACTGTAAGAAGCTGTCCAACAGTTCTGAGAAAAGCTTCTACAGGCTGCTGGTTCCCAAGTTCATTTTAAAGATTCAATAAAACATAAGAAGTCTTAGGCCTGCTTTGAGAAGCACCGTAGAAGTGTTCTCTAAATAGTCTCCAATTACGTTTATCCAGTAGTTTTGTTGGTTTCTTTTAATAGGATCTATGGATCAAAACACTTTTCTTCCATCTTCATGGACTTAAAATCACACTCTACAAGTCTATCTGCAATCTCAGGTTCCCAACAACCCACTGAAAGTTGAGCAAGTGGCAGAGATTGCTCAGAATCTCTGCTGAGTGGCAATAGCAACATCTTCAACGTATTTTAATTAAAACAGTTAAAAGAACAGCCTACAGGACCTTAATTGCAAACACAGAAAGCACCAAGACACCCTTTCAAGTATATAGCAAGAACATCAGTAGAATGTTTAGCACTTAATATTTAGCGCACTGGAAGTGAGATGTAGAACCCCTCTCTAGGTACTAGACCAGTAAGATAGCCACAAGGAGGGCAATAATAGAATCCGTAGGTTCTACTGATATATGTAGAATTATTAAAGCAAAGGACCCTAGCAAGCAGTCAAGTATTTTCTCAATGCAGACTATCATGGGGTTCTAAGACAGTAAACAGAATATACAAGTTACTCACAGCACCATTACCACAACCTAGATATGCAGCTCTTGTCACCTGTCACCTTTGTGTTCTGTGACTAGTGCTGAGTGATGCTTTTAATTCACCCTTATACAGGAAAGCTATTGGACACTACTTAATAAACAACATCTTGTATACCACTGGCACACAGCACAGCATACAGTGATGTCTTAACTACTACAGCCGTCATTGTGGTGATTGCAATGTATGATCATAAGAAAGCAATGTTCATTTCTCAAGAAAGTGACTTCCACTGACAGGAGATGGGAATAAGGGGTTAGGAGTTGAGATGTAGAGGTCTGGAAAACCACTAGTTTGGACTCATTAAACTGCTCCTCTAACACCTGCTTTCCTTCAGCCTTGAAATGTCATCTACACTACACACCTACCAATTAGGAAAATAAAGCTGTTGACAAGCTCCGTCCCTCATCTGTCAGTCACAATGATGTTGAATTTGACACAGCAGTTCCTGTCCATTGTACAGGAGCTCAGCTGCCCCAAAGAACAACAAAAAACTATCACAGTGTTGTAATTCATGGTCAGAATGAGCTTAAGGCAGCTCAGGCTGCTGCAATCCAGGTAGATCAAAGTATTGCCCAGGAACTAAAAGCAAGTGAACATCAATTGCTAATGTTGTGTACAAAACCAGAAGTACAGCAAACATTACTGGCTATGATTCCTGACTTTCGCTAGGACTTCCTGTAGCAGAAACACTAAGTCATGGCCTGAAGCAGTGATTAAGCACCTGGTGGGAAAGCAGGGCCAAACCAGAGGGAGGTCAGGTGTGTGTAATGCAACCGAATGACTGGAAGGGGTGGGACCAGGATCCTCCCCCCTCCCAGACCTCATTTAAGGGTTGGCAGTGGAGGTAAGGTACCTTGCTGGAGATCCCTGCTTATGTGAGTCCTTCTGAAGGTGAGGTTTTTTTTTTTCCTTTGTTTTTGCATTTATGGCTGCTGCACTTGGGTTTGTCCTCACTTCTGGCAGCCTGGGACTCTGCTACCTCACTATCATTGCTGTGTTTTTCATCACATTATAGCATTACACTTTCTGAGCTGGCTTCTTACTGCTTAGAAATATACTTAAGAATTAGGAATATAGTGTATATATCAAACAAGGACACGAATCTGCTATTCACTTTTTTTTTTTCCTCACAAGAGTGAATTCACAGCAACAGCAAGTAAATACTTCTTTTTCTGGAAAAAAACAAAAAAACAGGTGTTTATAGTAGTAACTATATGTAACTACTACACATGTACAAGCATCATAAGACTTGCAGGAAGATGGAATAGCATATTTTCATCATAGAATCACTATGAAAAGACCTTGATATCCCATCCACCTATCACCAGTAATTCCCACTAAACCACATCTCTCATTACAGTATCTATCTGTTTCTTGTATGTATCTAGGGACAGTGACTCTTCCACCTCCCCAGGCAGACCCTTTCAGCACCTGACCACTCTCTTGGAGAAATATTCACTAATTTCCCACCTGAACCTCCTGTGAAGCAACCTGAGGCTGTTTCCTCTCATCCTATTAGTAGCTATGTGGGAGCAGAGGTTGACCCCCACCTCACCGACCTCCTTTCAGGTGGTTGTGGAGAGTGGTTAGGTCACCCCTGAGCTTCCTCTTTTCCAGACAGAACAATCCCAGCTCACTCAGCTGCTCCTCTTACAACTTGTGCTCCAAACCCCTCACAGCTTCATTGCCCTTCTCTGAACGTGTTCCAGGATGTGCCTTGTAGTGAGGGGCCCCATATTCCAGCCTTCATTAAACACCCCAAACCAAGTTTTATCCACTGTGGTATAGCAGGCAACTATGAATCATGCCACCTCTAAACCTGACTTGTCTTATGAGATTACAGAAAGGAACTGGAACAACAACAGTGGTGAGAAGAAGAAATTGAATCTGTACTTGTGACTTGAAGATTCATATACTAACATCTGGATATAGTTCAGAACACTGAATTATAGATGAGCTCTTAAGCAAGACTAAGCTTAGTTTCAATAGCCTGTCAGATAGTAAAATGTCTACATCTTGGGCACGCAGCATATTAACTATACTGAAAGAAAAAAAGCAAGCAAGTGTTATTTCACAAGTTAAACTAACCTTTATTATAAACAGGAAATTCAATAGAGACTTCAAAGTATACTTTTAAAAGTCATAGTTCATAGGTGGCATATCAATGATGTCATCCAGCGTAGAAATAAAGTCAGTAGGTGGTTGTAGCAAGTCTGAAAGTTAGAGATAGAGCAGATTAGTTACTCATAAAATCCAGAAGTTTACACTCAAGCTAGCTGCTGGTGGATTAGCAAAAGCCTCTTGAATGGCTACATCAAGTATTGTTAGCCTGTATAAACTAATTCCTCCTAACAAATGAGTTACCAATACATCACAGAAAGTTACATGGCAGAGCAGCTTTGAGACCACTACCTATGCCAGTAGAGCTGACCAGTTAAATTCAGCTCTGTTGTATACTGAGAGCTCTTTGAGACAAACGTCCTGCTGTTGTACTTACAGGAGCAATAGCTGTTCACTACTGCAGCCAACTTGCTTCCTTAATGAGCACTGTATGCACTGGAACTCAGGGTAGTTTTCCACTTACCAGACTCCCAAGGCATCTTTTCAAGCTTCACAGGTGAACAAGTTATGTTCACAGGTTTGTCACAAGTACTTGTGTGTATCATGAGAGGAACACCATACAGCTTGATATTGCTTAATCTGTGCTCTTCAGGAACTTCAAAACTCTCGAAGTCTGTTTAGGAAAGACATGCTGTAGTTCAGTAACAGCACACAATAGCATGAGGAGCTGCAAGTTGTCTTTGATTAAGTGAAACAGGAGTAGTTCCAGGACAATTCAATCCAATAGTTCCTTCTTATGGAGTGCTTATTGTCAGTTACTTATCAATGTCCATGAAATTTTGTATGCTAACGCTTATCTGAAATCTACATAACAGTCATTATAAAGCAAGAGCTGTAAGGAATTTTTCTAATCCCTATGCTATGTCAACTGTATCAAGCAGTATGTGTGTTTAAAACAGTCAAACAAGAACAAGGTGATGCTTCAAAAATACTGAATGCCCTTATGTTTAAGAAAGGACTCTGCAGAAATGTAATACCAGCTTACTTACCACAACAGCTCAGTGAAAGTCTTACAGCATCAACACTTAATTTGGTTTTAATAACTACCCCAAGAGCTCTTACCTAGAGGATCAAATGGAAACATGTTTTCTATTTCTGGGTAAGCTTCATCACCCACTGCATCCCAGCTTTCTAATCCAACAGCTTTTTCAGCAACCTTAAAATGAAGAAGTCACGTTATTTGTGCTACCATGTTTTCTCAGTGTAGTACCCTTTTTGTGTCTGTAAACCTGTATAGCATAGAAAAGATGTGAGCACTTGCCACACAGGCTCTGAATTCCATTGCCATACTGTCTGAATTCTAACACCCTTGATACAAATAAGCTGCAAAAGGGGAAATGCTTCAGCTGAGCTTGTATGGTGATACACAGTGGCAACTAATCTCTGCAGTAAGATATTTAGGCTCATAACAATAAACACTCACTGAACAGAATATGAACAAGACAATAGCCCAGCCAATATTTTGTCTAGAGCCACTTCTTCACCCTTGTGTGTTCCCTAAGCTGTTGTAGGTACATCATGCATTCTTCTGATACCCATCCATTACAGAAGGGTTGTACTCACTTTCTTTGCACTGCAAGGCTGATTTTTATCTCTCTGTTCCTTCTTGCTTGTAACTCCTACAGTTCTGTTCACGTTTCCAAGAGCTTTTCTGACAGAGTGGGATGTGGCTGGAGTTCTGATTGTTTTTTTTGGAAGTGGAGTATTGACTTGTGTTCTTTCTGATAAGACTTTTGCTGCAGACAGGAAGGGAAGGCAAACTTTAGAACCATGTTAATGCTAAAGCTTGCTTCTAATGAAGTGCGTGTGCTAGAAAGCTACTTGTTGTTCTCCGCTTGTAACTCAAAAGTGTAAATCCTGTCTGTGACAAAAGACAGGCAATTTCCACATTTATAATAGTTGATAAACTTAGTTTTATTATTTATCAACTTAACCTGTTATTTCTGTTCAAAACAGTGATTAACAAAATCCAGGACATGCACTGTACTCCATCCCACACTGCCTCCATGGAGCATATACCCACATGATACTGAAGGGCGCCTCAACTGGTTCTTAGTTGCACCAACTTCACCATTCTCCTTATCCACAAAGATCAGCGTTGACATCTCTGGGCTGATGAGACCACCCTGGAAAGGCATACAGAAAATCTAGGCAGTTCTTGCTAACAGAAACAGCAAGTGTTTGAAGTATGCTAGGAATGGTGCCACGTTGGATGGGGCAACCTGGTGTAGTATTGTATATGGAGGTTGGCGGCCCTGCGTGCAGCAGTGGGGGGATGGGGTGGGGAAGGGGAGGGGGTTGGAACTTGATGATCCTTGAGGTCCCTTCTGACCTAAGGCGTTCTTTGACTCTCTGATGACAGTTGCCACGTGCTGGCACGTGAAGAGAATGCAGCAAGCCGTACTTCATGCCACAGCAGTTTAGCTACAGACTATCGGCCCTGGATACACCGATACCCGGACCCATGGAGCTCACGTGGGTTTGAGAAAGACTCAAGGTCTCACCGCAATCCTGCGCGTTTGCTGCTTCACTTCTCTCCAGCGCTCAGTGTTGCTCACTGCAGGAAGCCTAGGCTGGCGATCCGACTCGCAACGCGAGCAGCCAGCGGTCACAGGGGGCCTCTTCCCCCAGGGCAGAAGAATCGCGAGCAGCCAAGAAAGAACTCCCTGCGGGAAGCCGCACACTTACCTGCGGTGAGAGCCGGACGGGAACAGGAGAGAGAGGACAGCGCGGAGCGGGCGGGAGCGGCTCAGAGCGCGGACAGAGAAAAGTACAAACAGCGCCCTGCCGCCACCGGCCCCTACAGCCCTTCCGCTCCTCCCATTGGCTGTTTCGACTAACGCTCAGGCATCCGATTGGCTCAGCGCCGTCGGGGCGACGGCGGGACTGCTGGGTTCCGGTGCCTCGTTGCCGTGGTGACTGCGTGACGGCTCCTCGGGGGACGCGGCGCCTTTAAGGGGCGGGGCTCCCGGCCGCGGTGCATTGTGGGGCGGCGGCGCGGCCTAGCTGGTAAACAGGCGACGGAGGTGAGGGGTGGGCGCCGGGTCGTGGGCGGCTGGGCGGTTATGAGGGGTGCCTGAGGAGAACCTCGTGGGATCCGGCCGGGTTTGAACGCGTGTGGTTCTTTAGTGTTACAGGGGGAAGTAAAATGGCGTCTGGGACAGCGGTAAACGCAGCTCCTTCGGGAGGGCCGGGCGACGTGAGCATGGAGGAGCCGAAGAAGATGACGAGGGAGGACTGGAGGAAAAAGAAGGAATTGGAGGAGCAGAGGAAACTGGGGAACGCACCTGCGGAAGTGGATGAGGAAGGAAAGTGAGTTCGTAAAGCAGATTCATCAGAAGTTAACAGTTCTGTTGGTAAAATAGGTTCACCTGGTGACAGAGTTTAACGTAAGAGCTGTTTGTTAACTGAATGTGGTGGGTTTTTTTCCTGTGCCATGTGTTAATTTCATAACGCCTTTCACAGAGATATCAATCCTCACATCCCTCAGTACATATCTTCAGTCCCGTGGTACATCGATCCTTCCAAAAGACCAACGCTGAAGCATCAGAGGCCTCAGCCGGAGAAGCAGAAGCAGTACAGCTCCTCGGGAGACTGGTACAAACGGGGAGTGAAAGAGGTATGGGGCTGCCTTTGTCCTGAAACAGAGCTGTGGTTTATTCCTGTGCAGTAACAGGTATTGACACCCTGCATGTTCTGGTTATGTGTTGTGGGAGGGTGACAGGAACTGGAAATCTGTACTCAGCAAGCATTACCCAGCATTTGGTGGTCATCAAAATGGCCTTTTGAGTTTGGAGCATGCATGCTTTGGTTGTGTTAGAAAATAAATAAATCCATTGGTGGGAATATCTGTATGAATCTTAGCACAGGTTTGTTTAATGCTGTCTTTTGCTGTTTAGCACTCTATAGCTACCAGATACCGCAAGGGAGCTTGTGAGAACTGTGGTGCACTGACACACAAAAAGAAGGACTGCATGGAGGTAAGCTTGACGCTGTTGATATTTTAATGGTTCAAAAGTGAATGTGACTGCAGTGAAAAAATGCCTTGCTACAGGTAAAATAGCAGTTACTTTGGAAAAGATTACAGGTGCTATAATGCTGTTTGAAATTATCTAAAGCAGCTGTTCTGTGGGGAAAATAAAGAGAAAAACAAAGAAAAAAATAATCACCATTTAATTCTGCTTGCAAGAAACACTGTAATAAAAGTTGGAAGTGTTTGACATTTAGTTCCTTATGTTAGTGTACTTCAGTTCCAGTGCTGGTGTGGCCATCTTAACATTTTTTACATTAACATTTTTAAAGAGTGGTGTCGCAGGGCATGTTTCAATTGGATCAATTGATCCAACCCTTTTGTATGTTTTTTACATCCAGAGACCCAGGAAAGTTGGAGCAAAGTACACAGGCATGAATATTGCACCAGATGAACACGTGCAGCCTCAGCTGATGTTTGATTACGATGGAAAGCGAGATCGCTGGAATGGTTATAACCCAGAAGAGCACATGAAGATTGTGGAGGAATATGCCAAGGTTGACTTGGTACGTAGGCGTTGCAGTTCACTGGGGAAAGCTGTAGTGTTTGGGTTACTGTGAGGGGTGTTTGTTTTGCACACTGCTAACATTAGACCTTGTGCCGTATCAGTAATGGAAAAACTGGGTGCGTGTTGTGTTAGCAGATTCACTAGAAATAGAGGAATTCAGATCTGAGTGGGGGTCTGCTATGTGTGTCTCCTAATTGCTTGCATTAACTAGACAAACGCTATAATGAGCTGACCAAAGTGCAGATTAATTTGTAGGCAAAAATGGAATTTCTAAGCAATGCTTACTATCTAGAGCCCTTCTTGTTACTGTTGTGGAACAGTGGTTGTTCATACGTATCTCTGTGGTTCTGTGATGTCATGCACATAAAAGCTTACTTTGTGCTGCTCTAAAATATCACTTTGATTGCTAAAATGTCATGATTCTCGTATGAGTTGTAAATGCTTGCACTATCTCTCACTGAACTACCTTAACTACTGAAATTCCTGACTACATGATGAGGGCACTATGGTAAAACACATTTGTTCTCAAACGCTGTTGAACTAAAATAAGCTGTATTTCTTTAATTAGTTCACACAAAGCAACGGTACAGCTGCATGAGCTATAGTAAAATTGCTTATTTAACAGTATACCATAAAACAGCAAAATGGTGAGTTACATGTAGTTTCCTTGGGGCTCTAAAAACTGTGATGAGTCTTAAGCATAGATGACATAAACTTTAGGCTACTGATTTTTTTTTTTTTTTTTACAAGTAGAAATGGAAGCTGATTTTCTTGTGATCACTGCCATTTAAAATCTATTACAATAAATGCTTATGACATCACTACGTGCTTGCTATGGAAAGGAAATATTAAAACAAATGCATTTGCATGATATGCAGGCCAAGCGCACGCTGAAAGCCCAGAAGCTTCAGGAGGAGTTAGCATCAGGAAAGCTGGAACAAGTGGTAAGTGCATTAAACTCTTGATTTATTTTTGCTTAGGCTGAATAAAAACCCAACAGGTTATTTCTGCTCTCTGATGCGTTTATTCTCTATACACAGTTTCCTGTTGCTTTTTATAGCCTGCAAAATATTAAAGTTCTTTGTAGCCCCAGGTGGTTGTGTGTTGTACAAGAATTCAGAGTACCTTCTTTCAGATGTGTGACTTTGTGTTTTGCTTTTGGACAAAACTTCCTTCTGATTATTAACCTTGTAAAATTAACGATGTGGTATTTTAGATCAGAAAGCTCATCTGCCATACAGTCATTCTGCTCATACCCTGAGATGCATGTTTTTTTGTCTGTTTTTTTTTTTTTAATTTAAAGGTTTGTTTTGTCTAATACTGAAGTAGTGATTGTTGCGTGGATTGTTTTATTATGGTCAGTATAAATGGGAATAGGAAGATATCTTTATCCTGGAACCAGGCTTGTTTCTTCTTCAGTCATTGCTATGGCTGTTTGCAGTGTCTTTGATTATGTGAAGGCTGAGCACAGATATTTCCCTCTGGATTGTAACTGCGAAGTTTGCATCTTCCACTTCAGTTCCTCTTAGATTATAGGCAATGCTTTGGATAATATTTGATATCAAGTTCTGATTTTAACAGCATGGTTTTTTCTAAGCTCAATTTCTGAGTTTTGACAGCAGGTTTCTAACACAGAGACAACATAGGGATTGTTTCTGGTCAAAAGAGTGTTTGAATTGGTATTTTAAGACAGAAGGCATTGAGCAATAGATGATGTACAATCAGAATCCATTTTCCAGAGGTTGCCACCCTGCATTTTGTCACCAGGTGGCAGAGTGAACCGAATCTCAGACCCAGCATAAAATAGAGTTCTGACCTTCCAGATAAAAGCTGCTGTTATTTTTTTTTAATGTGTGTATTCACTGCAGAATAACATTTAGAGTGAAAGGATAAGCAGGTGAATAAAAAAATTAGGTTTTGTTTCTCCAGATTGAATTCAGTCTTCTGATTCAAGCTCGGTCTTCTTGTCAGTGCTAATTAAATATGCATACCTAGCTTTTTAATATATATTTTTTAAAGCTTTCAGAATTTAATCTTGGATTTATTTGCACGATGTGAAATATTCCAATCTGTTCTACTCTGAAGGTGTAGCAGGCTTTAGGTAACAGTGACAGTACTGAGCCTTTGCAAGAACGGTGAATCCTAGAAATTTGGTTGGTAATTCAGTGATGAGCTGTGTTACAGCTCTTCCCTAGGATACTCAGCATTCAGTGATCTGTGTGTTTTGTGCCACAAGTGCATTGTATTTTTGTATCCAGCATCAAAGTCCTGCTTTGATTGGTCTTGATCTGCCTGCCGCCTTTCCTCTCTGCACTATCTTATCTTCTCTGCTGATGTGCTCTTTGTTTGCTGCAGAACTCCCCAAGACACCAGTGGGGAGAAGAGGAACCAAATTCACAGACAGTAAGATGAATACCCACTGCATCACATCATGGGCAGAAAAAAGGACCTGTAGTTAGTGAAACAGCAAAACAAGGGTGGCATAAGGGTTTCAGAGTTGGGCTCAATCACTGGCTGCCTGTTTTTCTTTCATGAAGGGTTTTGTGTTATTAATTGCTTTGTTTTGTGCTTTTTTTTTTTTAACTCCTGTGTGTTGTCAAACCTTAAAGGTGTCAGCAAGTAACTGCTTCTTAAGGCATGGTATGATTTGCCCAAGGTAGCTTTTTTAATTCATCACAGTTGCAGTTTTTAATTGGAGGAAGTGGCAATCCTTGATGAGTATTTCTGGAACGATGAATGTAGCTGCATGATCCATCAGCACACTTAAGCCCATTTGTAATGAAACCACTGAAGTCAGATTCTTACTCTTGTCTCCAGAGTGAATGACTGCTTCTAAATAAGTTCTCTATCTCTGTTCTTAGGAAAGAGATCATAACAGTGAAGATGAAGATGAAGATAAATATGCAGATGACATTGATATGCCTGGGCAGAACTTTGACTCTAAAAGACGAATCACAGTTCGGAATTTACGTATTCGGGAAGATATTGCAAAAGTGGGTAAAGGATTCTTCACAGGTTTTCTTTTTTTCTTCATATTAGTGAATATTAAAAGTTGAATGCTCTGTTATCACTGAGTTTGAGTGTGAGTCCCTGTGTTTGGAAGTTGAGGTCAGTTCTCAGCTCACTTCCAGCTTATTCTGTGACGTTCTCAAGGGCACTGTCCTTTTAAAATGTCTTAAGCTGAGGCATCAGCAGTAATTTTAGTTCCTTGAAAATCAAAAATGTTAATGAAATAACTTATCATCTTTTCTTCCCCTAGTACCTGAGGAATTTAGATCCAAACTCTGCTTATTATGATCCCAAAACGAGAGCAATGAGGGAGAATCCATATGCCAATACAGGCAAGAATCCAGATGAGTAAGTTGAAATGGGCATGCAGGTGCATCCAA